AAGAGCTATGTAAATCTAGTTAATGGTGGACAAATTTACCATAGACTGAAAATTACAATTGAAGTTGACAGGCTTCTACTATTGATCGGAGCAATATAAATATAACAAACCTGATGTATTTGCAACGCTAACATCTTTTTAATTTTGTTTTTCCAAAATAACGATGGATTAATGTTTGAGTTCCCTAAATTATATTTGAAGTTAAACATACAAATACTATTATGCTTATAGCCCCTTCACACTGCCTCATTTAGGTGGTTTCGCTCATTATAGTCACTTATGAGAATTATTTACCGTACAAAGTGCTTTCATATAAATGAGCTCATTATCAATAAATCAGCTACTTTAGGGCGAAAATTGTTGAATGCAATCCTTAAAAATAAATTTCCCATAAGGGAAATTACCAAAATGTATACAAACAACAGCTGAGCTGCAAAGAAAGGCACTGAGGAAGTAAAAACTAAATGAAACGTTGATTTTTATAATTGATATACAAAATGTATATAAATGATTTGATAGATCAATTATATATTTCATTTTTTTGTGTGATAAATGAAGTTTATAAAAGTTCTATCAGCTGCATTAATGAGCTTATTACAATGTGAACGTTCACTCATTAATATAAATGAACAAGAGCTTAAATGAGATAGTGTGAATGTACTACTAGCTATCCGCATCATTCCGTTTTGAGTTGTAATTTTTAACGGGTAGATTTTTCTTAGACAAACGTCTATAAAAACGGTATTTAACGTTTTTATGTGATTTTTTTCGTTTCCAAGGAATACCTCTCACGCTTTCATATCAAACACCTTGTGTACTAGTACATAAATTAATGATTATAAACAATATATAATATAAAGAAGCATTCATAACGAATCTGTGAAATTTTGGTGTCAACTAAATTCTAGTGTAAATGGACATACATGGAACGAGTTACACAAACTTTAACACAACTAAAAGTAAAAAATGTCCAAAATTTTCTAAAACATTCAAGTCACGTTCTTTTACACAACAACACCAACACGGACACCAATAGTTAAGACAAAAATAACAACATAAGCAAACACAACAGTTGAATAAGTTTAATATACTCAATAGTTAAGCATCCACCAAGCGTATCAAGGCAAGCCATACACAGAAGCACGAACGACAACAGCATGTCAAAGCCCCTAGGCTAAGACTAAATCCCTAGTCGATTTTAACTGTACGTATGTGTAAATGGATAGTTGACATGTTTTATTTTTTTTTTTTTTCGTATTTGTTAACTAAAACCAACAACACGACAAAGCAAGGAGTATATAAAAATAATTTAAAATTCCTATAAGGAAGTTGTTTCCTATAGCACGAACAATATCCTTTGACAACACAGTGTAATAAAATTTTAGAAATATATATAAGAATAATTTTTAAAGATACTTTGATTAAAAAATAACACCAAAGTCAATTATTCTCATGTTATTTTAATTAAATTAAAGAATTAGAGTCAACTCAAGTATGCGTAATTAATGCACATCAACTAAAATTATACCGACATATGTATAGTAATCTATAAAAATAAAGAACTAGATAAAAAATGTTCCTTCACAAAATACGATTTTTTTTTATATTTTCATAAACCTTCATTGTGATTGAGTATAGGATATAAATTATTTATACTTGTATGTTTATTGCATTTATTCTTCAAGCCGAATCGATCAAAACTAGGGACTTTAAATGCTGAATAGAAAAGGCATACGACTTGTCACAGGATTTCTCATTGGACATTGCAGAGTAAAAATCATCTATTAAATCTGGTTATTATAAGGAACGATAGCTGCAGAGTTCGTCACAAAGCAGAACACATTCTGCCTCACTGCGATAGTCTCGCCAGATTAGAGACATTTCCTACTGTTATACGCCTATGGAACTAAAGTGGGTTTATCACAATAATCCCTAAAGGATGCAGTGACGTGGTGACATAATTCCCAACCCTTCAAAATCTATCGATCTTTCTATTGTATTTATTCACTTTTTAAACAAATCTGAAATAAAATCACACATTTTAAGAAAAGCAGTTGTTTAATGAACTACAACAATTATTTTATTAAATATAAATGGTTTTTACAGATCAATATATTCAAAAAAAAAAAAACTTAATTTTAGCATAATAAAATTAAAAAAAAAAACCATTCCATAGGATAATAATGGAGGATAGTTGAAATATATCATGGAAGATAGTTAAATAAAATAATAATAACATACCTTGATGTTTTTTGTGAATATATATTCACCGGTAAAAAACATTTGTATATAATAAAAATAATATAAATAAAATAAAATAATATAACAAATAACAAAATAATATAATATTATATAATATAAAATAATATAATTTGCAAAATATCAAATAAAATATATGAATTCATTGAAATATCTTTAAATCCAGAATTAATATAATTTATTACAAATAAACATATATATTTTTAAAGATTAAAGTCTTTGCAAAAACAATTAAATAGAATTGTCTATAAAAACTCAATCAATTTCCTTCTTTTAACTTTTATATTTGTTAGGTGTGCATCTCAAATCGCAGAACATTTTTATTATATTTTATCTTTCCTACACAACATTAGAATGAACAAAATAATGTGCTAGTGCTCACGCTTAAAATATGAGAATTAGAGATTTATATTGTGGAAAATATATGAAAGTAGTTATTCTGTTCTATTTGAATATGAGATGCATGCATGTGAATCAAACTTGTTGATTTGCCGAAGCGATTAGATGTGCGCTAAAGTTTGCAGCGCACATCACCGTAGATTTCTATTACATTTCGTCTCTCCGCTTTTAACACTACCATCAACTAGTTGCCTCTAGTTGTGCGGAATAGTTAGCCGCACATTTAAACGTTGCGAGTGCGTTCGATTTTGTTTGATCACTGCATAACCATGTATGGTTTTGAGTACAGACTCGTTTGTTTGAAAAAAGTTGCATTGATGTTGTGAGCAGTAAATAAAAAGTTGTGTGTGTTTATTCCATATTGATATAATATTTTACTTATTAGTATATAAATTAATAATTTAATTTATTTATTACGTTATTTAGTTAATGAATTGTTAAATGTTTTATTGTGAATATATTGTTGCCTAAAATAATCTAGTTATTTTTAATAAAACATATCTTCTATTTCAATTCATCATTTCGGACTTAGGCCGTACATTTAAAAATAACATTGCAGAAGGACCGCACACCCTTCCAAATAGGACGCGTCGTCACTGCTTTATATGTATTCCGAATATGTACAGAATATCAAATTTTTTTTTTTAATGTCCCTTGACTATCCTTTAGTGTGTCCGGATATTGTCATTTGGCGATACACTGAAGGCATGGATTTGTAACCATGAAATTGGTTATGAGGTCATGACGGTGACAAAGCTGCAGTTCGGTTACGAAAAAAATACAAAATGTAAATTTCAATTCAATTAATTAACTAATTAGCTGATTATTATACTGTAAAGTTAAGTAATAGTTTTGTTGATATCATTAAAAAAAGGGAAATGTAATTTAAAAAATGTTTTAAGTATAAATATATACTTTAAATATATACTTTGACAATTTATAGTATATTATATAGGATATTATGCTATATTAATAGGATATTAAATTTAATTTACTACTGACAGTTATAAAATAACCAATTATTTCTTAATACATTAAAAAATTAATTTTAAGAAAATAAGTATTTTAACCAAATTTATTACTGGATTATTCCTCATCGGAATAAATTAGATGCAAATTAAAAAATGAATTCAAACCAGAATATATTGATATTGTACATTTTATAAAATTCATCGGTTATCGTTTTATCAAGATTATCCGATATGGAATACTAACAGAAAAGCGACCTTCGGAGTCAACTGAATATCAACCTTCAAGCAAACTCTGGACGTCGGCGACATTAGAATTGCGAGGCCTCTTTCATAACCCAGTTGTAAAACTAAATAAGTTACATTCACTAATATGACAAAGCATGATTGAAAGTTTTATTGCTAATCTTTTACGTTTAGCTTCACTTCATTTTTTTTTTAAATTATATCATAATTTGCGCCAGCTGCTATTTTCGCTTCAGTTTATAGAATTTCGAATGAAGATAGTCTCTCTTGGATCATCATAATATTCTAGTACGTCTTAATCAATTTTAAATTTGAAAAGCTTCTTTCCGTCGAAGCTATACTGACTGGAACTGTGAACATGAATCTGGTTACTATATAAACATTCGGAAATATTTGAATATGGTTAATGCCATTATCAAACCAAATTGTTCAAAATATTTACTAAGTGCTTAGAATCAGTCGGTATGTTTTTGCGAGGCCCCTGTGGGTGCGAGGCCGTCATCGCTGACGCCTAGCGACGCCTTTGTTTTTGTACTCGTAACAATTTCGGTTATATATAATAATAATTTAATTATATATATTATTTATGGTAAGTTTCAGTTATTTATAATCGATTTCCTGTTAAAAAGAATATTATTGTGCCAGTGGTTTGCAGACCCACATTCTGTATCTGTTTAGAGCATTCATTTTGTTTAATTATTTTAACAATTTGCTTGTACATTAACTGCAAAATACTATTGAATTCAATAAGGTATATTTACTCTAACATATATAAAGAATTGAAAGCACTACTATTTATAATGCAACTACTTAATCATCGAAATAAATTAGTTTGATCTCATCCATCCAATCCAAACCCAGCACTTCCCAGCACAATGGTACAATTTGAGGTTTCTTCATAAGCAAACTCAAAGTCATAGGGCATATATAAGTGACTTCGTATGCACACAATATATTCAATATTAATGATTAAAAAGTAAACACCATTATTTTGGTTAAGTAATTTTTAGCAAATTATTATGTTTGGTATATTATTTATTTTGTTTTGAAACGACTTTGCATATTGATATCAAGGTGTATTTATAAAAAAATAAATAAATTACTGCTCATAATGTTTAGGTTTACATCGGCTTATCTCGTACTGAAGACAATTTCGTGTATATCAACCACTTTCGAAAATATAGGTTCAAAGAATATTAGTTAGTACCTTCAAAACGATTTGAATAGAATTGATTCATGCCCAAAGCATGTTTAACATCGTGATATCGTTGAAGTATATTTGATATAACTGAACTGGAATCACTATCTCCACCCCAAAGACGTAACAGACTTTCATTTTCCAGTATAGAGAGAAATGCTATAAAATAGAATTATATGTCATTATATATCTACAAATATGAAATACTTTCTGTACTCAAAAAAATTTTTGGATTTCCCAAATTAATTTGAACTTGCGGCATCTCTAATATCGATTTCAGTAATGGAGAATTGTGTGCTAATCCTTCCTTAAGCTCAAGTAAACTAGGGCTACGAATGCCACAGAGAAATTCACAAGCTGCTGCTTTGTTATTACAGGTTTTTTTCAAAGCAGTAAACACATCATTACGTTCAAATCCCATTTCAACTATTTCATTAACTATATCTAGTCTAGGTGGCACATCGCGGTGGCTAAATATTCGAACAATTTCCAAAAGTGCTGCTATGTTTTCCAATACACTCTTTAAATAAGTATCAAAAATGTTTGTTATAAATTGGAAAAATAGAATAATTTTTAAGTAATTACATTATTTGTTACAATATCGGAAGGAGACATAAGCGATTCACTTCTCTGTAAGCCCATAACTTCATCTATTTTCGACAAATCTTCATTTTGAGTTTGAATCAACCATTCTAAAGCCAATGCATACACACCGCTAAAGAAAATAAAAACAATCGTTCATGATAGATTTGTAATAGAAAAAGCATCGTACTCACTTGTTGGTTTTTAAAGCATATTCACATCTTTCTCTTGTAAATCCCATATCAACAAGACACTGCAGTATATCATTCTCATCATTTACTTTATTTATAAGTTTTTGTTTTAACATAGCTATAATCCGATCCGCATAAGGACTAGCTCCAACTATAGTGGCTGATAGTTGCGCCAGTGATATTAAAACTTTACGAACTTCAAAATGTAACTAAAATAAAATGTTGGTAACATAGACTCCACAATTTTCATATGAAATAAAACTATGGATCAATGAATATGGATAATAATGCCCATAAAAAACAAGCAATTCCGAATACTTACATTGGCTTGTTGGAATATTTCATTAACATCAATCATTGGAAGATTGGTGACATGAGATGGTAGATTTCTTGTTGCCATGTCTACTTCATATATACGCGGTGGTGTCATATCCTTTGAATTGGGCATGTTATTTGCCAAAAAATGTCTTTTAATCACTAACACCAAAGTCTCGTTGGTTTTTATATTAAGTTGTTTTAGAGTACGGTTTTCGTCTAATTCAACACCTTCGAATTCAGCCCGAAAAAGCCTATAACGAGGCGCAACTAAACGCAAATCAGTCGAGAACAATGACACTGAAGCCATGTCGTCAGACAGTTCAAGAATAATCTCATTTTTTAACTCAATTAAGTGCTTATTAGTATCTGATTGATATACAAGAATGCGAGCACTGGGACAAATAACCCGGATTCGAATACGCTCCTTTGTACGTGGCGAATCACTCAAACGCTCGTTTACATTATGTGGGGAATTATGAGCGCTACTGGATGAAGTTGAACGTCGTGAATGTCTTCTAAAATAAGAATTAATATAATTATACTAATTTTTATATACACTGGTATATATATATATATATTTATGTATATCATTGGCCTCACTTCGAAAACAAGTTCCGCAATTTTTGCATATTTCTTATAATTTGCAATAAAAAAAACTTAACCAAAAATTTAGGAAAAATGGGTTTTAAACTATAACATTTTCTTAAATTATTGAAATTTCATAAATAATTTTAATTTAAAAACAAAAAAAGTTTGACACATTTTAACATTATTTTAATATACTATTACTTTGATTTACAGCACCAAAAAATGATATTAACCAATTGCAAGTATAGTATTCCATAATTTATATCAGAGGTAATCAGACGAAGCGCGGGAAATCGGTTGGTTGGTTTATTGCAGTGGCAGGCCATTTGATAACTTCCTTGTATCTCAATTAGCGATTTTTCACCAGTTTGCTACCACATTCCTAGCAAGAACCCTAGTATAGAAGAGTTAAGACTAAATCCATCTCGCCGAATTTAGGTAATTTTCGTCTTCACCGATGAACAGTCTGATCAACCATCAAAGAACTATCTTCCTTAGTACCTATATCTTCTAGACATTCACAGATTACGCCGGGCATTCACAGAGAAAAAGTATAATGGTTTCTTTCTCCTGCGGGTTTCCACAACTTTTGCATTGAGGATTATATGAGTTCCTACACAACAATGACCAGTAAGAACTGCAGTATGCCTTGCAGTCAGGAAGTCGGTAATTGCAAAAAGAAATTGCAAACAAAAAATGAAAAAAATAATATTAAAATTTTAGTAAGACTTGTTCTCTTATTTTTCTTATTAATATAAATTTACTATAACTTTTGCGCAACATTTCACTACAATTAACTGATCTTTATTCCAATTAAAATTCATCGCACCTAATGCTTCGGTTATGCATTATCTCGGTAACACTACAAATGCTTTTTAATTGCACTTTCTTCATTTACTCTTAAAAATTGTTTGTATACTCATTCAAACAATATGCATTCCTAATTCCAATTTGCGATGAATTCATTATATGGCCTTGAGAAGCAGCTACAACAGTTGTAAAAAAGAAATTTCGGGAAAACCAAAACATACCAGGGATAATTGGAACAATAGATTGCACACATTTCTGAATTAAAAGGCCAAAATATTATGGGGAAGATTATTTCAACCGCAAGCAATTCTACAGCGTAATCCTGCGAGGCGGTAGTAGATGAAAGCAAAAGGTTCCTAAATATTAGTTATAATGAGCCCGAATTTTTGCATAATTACCGAGATCTCATTTATACACCAAGGCAATGTCAGTCAAATTATGATAAATCATTTCCCAATTTTTCTTTTCTACTTAAAGATTCGGCATATCCATGTACGAACTAGCTTGTGTCAGCTTTTAAGGACTACGGGAATTTGGGTAACAATCAAAAGAAATTTATTGAGAAACATTCGTCCACAAGAATTGTAATATATAATGTATTTGATTTATTTAACAGTCATTTCCAGAGAATAGCTAAGTTTACCGAACACAGCATTTTGGGTGCAATTACCAATACAGTGGTCAATATATGCGTTTTGTACAATATTTCTTTAAATATGGACGATGTGCATGAAAATCATGAAGTAAACAATAGTTCAGAAGAACATGAAGAGGTACCGGATCTGTTTACAAATTGTGAAATAAATCAATCAACAGATAGACGACAAAATATTTTTAATTACTGAATGGGAGTAAGTATTATAGAATTTGTAAATTTGTATATTATGTATCTTAAGTATAAGTAAAAGGTATCTTAACGTAATGTAATAATATATAAATATAATTGTGATAACTTCTATGTTGTTAACACACAACATACGGGTTTAAATATCACTTTATTTTTATATATCTTAATTACTACAACGCAATACGAGATTATGACCTGTGCGTCATAATCTCGTTTAGTGTTGTACAACATCCTTTTACTACAGTTCTCCCTTTTAATATCGTCGGCAGTCGTCATGCCAACGTGGCGTATGACCCTTTATATCCCTTTGAGATCGTCTTAACTCTTTGTTGTGTGTTATAGTCGGTATATCCTGATTGCTATTAACATCATTGGAATTTGTTTGTTGCTCAATAGCAGAAGATGAAATCTCTTTTGGCACGTAGCTTGATTGGGAACAATGAATGGTTCAACTGTATGCGACTATTCCGGAACCTCAAGCAGTTCATTCAGTTCGTTTTTTGTATAACGATACTACAGTTGGTTTACATGTGCTTTAATAATGCGCTCATTAATTTACTGGTCAATTTTCACTTCATAGCATACTACTCCAAGTTTCTGTATGACTACAGCAGGTATCCAAGTCCATTAATTACTAGTGGAATGAAGTTTATAATAAAGGTTATCTCCAATACTGAACTGTTTTCATTTTGTCTCTTGGTGATTACTTTGATTTTTTAATTCGCCTTCCGATTTTTGCTTTTTTGATGCAGTCATGATGAATCATGAATTTTTATTTTTCTACCATTTAGGATCTGGATAATGATTTCATACCCAGATTGTAGGATGGTGTGTATCGATAACAAGTAAGGAACTCGTTGAGCTTCTTGTCAATACTTCCGTTTGCCTTTTGAAGTCCTGATTCAAGAAGATCAACGAACCCTTCTACTTCGCCGTTTGATTGTACACTATATGGATCTGTAGTTATGTGGTTAATACCTTCAAAGTCGCAAAAATTTTTGAATTTCACTAACAATCACAAACAATTGAGTCACAAGGAACTCTTGTTTGCAGTAAAAAGTTTTATACGACACTCACCTGGGTATCCGTTATGGAGATCTTCAAGGACATGCTGACGATAAATTTTGGGAATAATAATTTTCTTACCAAAGAAAAATCTCCGTTGTTGGATCATAAGATAATGTCGACTATTTGGATTTGTTTTTTCCTTCAAGGCCAATAGCCATTTTTGATGTAGAACATGACCTTATTGAGAATATGGCAGGCTTTGGTTGCTGTTTGAAAAATAGTTAAAGTAATTGGAAGTTTGGTGGCTGTTTCTACCGTCAAATAATTAATTTTCAGGTCGTCTTTTTCTTCTTATTGAATAGATACTGTAACGGTATCTTCATCAGGTTTTACATGGTTTGCGATTAGTCGAGAAATAATATCGGCATATCCAAAGCTATCATTATTGATGTATTCAATAGAGAAGTCGTATGACAAAATATTATGTTGTAGGCGAGTCGCTTCGTGAAAACGAAACCATTTTTTAAGAAAGTACTTTCCTGAGAGACGGTTTGGTTATCAGTAAAAATCTGTTAAATTAAACAAATTAAACTAAACAAGTTTATCAATTGGAGCTTCTTACTAATAACGTGGAATTAATCACTGCAAGGAACCAACCATACATTGTGACCGAAAAGCTTCCGGAAATTTTAAATAAAACGCAAAATTCTTAATCTTCATCAATATTTATTTTATCTCCTTCAAAATATGCTCCATTAGAAGCGATACACAAATGCCAACGTTTCTTCCAATCATCAAAAACATTTTATAGGCGCTTTCCGGTATGGCTTTGAGTTCCCTCTGCGAATTCTGTTTTACGTCTTCTATGGATTCAAAACGCGTTCCTCTGAGTGGTAATTTGAGGTTGGGAAACAGGAAAAAGTCACACGGTGCAAGATCAGGTGAATACGGTGGCTGTTCGATGGTATTTATTGAATGTTTGGCCTTAAAATCGTTGATAATGTTGAACAAATTGAGGTGAATCGGAACAAGCCGGGCGTTGACACGTCGCATACACAAATTGTCCACCAAAATCAAACGAGCCATCTCACGACCGATGCCTAGCTCTCGTGCTATCTCTCTAACACTCACATGAGGATTTTTGAACACGATTTCCTTTGCCTTTTCAATGTTTTCGTCGGTGGTAGAGGTCGAAGGTCGTCCAGAACGCGGCATGTCTTCGACGGTCGTACGACAGTCCTGAAAGGCTTTGTACCACTCATAAACTTGAGTTTTCGATAAAACTGATTCCCCATAAGCCTTTTGTAGCATTCGCAACGATTCTGCACACGAAATTTCGTTCGAAAAACAAAATTTGATGCAAACTCTTTGTTCAATATTTTTTTCCATTGTTTTTTTCGCAACGCACTACTGAGGTGAACTGGTTTCAACAGCTGCCGTAAACGAACTGTCCGACAGATCGCGCTCATTTTTGGCATAGTAATTAAGGACAGTGCTGCCAAACTACATAAACTTAAAATATCGAAAAATATACAGCGCGCGAATTTTAAATGAGAACCTCCGAAAACTTTTCGGTCACAATGTATATTATCTGCATTTAAACCCCTATACACGTCTTATATAAAATGGAGTAACTATTGTCAAAATTTATTGGATTGGATGTTTATCAAATCTACTGCTTTTAGTAAAACGAATGTAAAACAAATGTAAACAGATGGATTCATACAAAGTAAAATATTGGTGCCGTTAAGTGGCACCGTATCTTTTTAATAGTACTTTTTATGTTCATTGCAGTTTCTCTATAGTATTGAGGGGAAATTAAAATAAAATACGTAAGCGATGATTAATTATATTAATACCATATATATTGCAAAACTGATTTTAAAGCCACTTAGGTATATCATTTCGTTACAGAGATGATGTATTATTACGATTTTTGTTGAATTTTTAAAATTAACTAATAGCTGAATGCCATGCAATGTTAGTATGTTTATTTTTTGACTTAAATTCAATTTTTTTTGTTTATATAACAGCTTTTCCAACTTATTTGTATATATGTTTACACTTTTGAGTGTTATAAGCATAAAAATTCAAACTCTACAACTAAAATAACCTACTCTATTAATTTATAAGAATCTAATAAGGCACATATGACTACACAGTGCCGAAGTATGAGGTACTGCAAATAACACAAATACTGCTATAATTCAAAAACTTCAATAAGAACTTCTTCGAGTTTCATCAATACAGACTGATATATTCCCAATAATAAAACAAATCAAGATATCGGCATGCAACTCATTTTAATAGCCCTTAAGTACAGCAGCATTAATCATAAAAATCGTTTACTACGACACGTGATTGAGAAAGAGATATAACTATCTTTGACTAAAAGAACTCACTGAAATTGGCTTAATAAAGTCATATCATCGGAACCAATAAACAGATTTAAGTAATATCATCAACCACTAAGTAATTCCAATAAAAGCCTATATCTATATTTATTATTTCTTCATGAATGTCATCAAGTCCTGATCTTATCTACTACGTTCATAGTAGAACGAGTGTAAAACGAATGGAATACCGAATTGTTCATACCATACCTTGGTTCTATTAAGCAACTTCAATGTGCTTTTAAGTAGCACTTTATATCTGCGCTGAAGTTTATCCAAGGTTTTTACGCAAGAATAAACGGAATATAGAATTGTTGATTAAATATGTTAATATATTATAAAATGGATATATGTTGTTTTGCTCAAGAAGCCTTAGTACTCTTACATTGTTAAGCTGGTATATTGAAATTCAATAGCAATTAAAAAAAAATTAAGCTGTTAGCAATAACAGCTTAACAATTTGAGAGTACTAAGGCTTCTTGAGCATAACAACATATAACCATTTTATTATATATTAACACATTTAATCAACAATTCTATATTCCGCTTATTCTTGCCTTAAATATTATCGATAATGTTCAATGCAGATATAAACTGCTACTTAAAAGCACATCGAAGCTGCCTAATAGAACCAAAATCGGGTACGAACCATTCTGTATTTCATTTGTTTTACACTCGTTCTACATTCATGAAGAAGTAATGAATATACAAATAATGTATATAGGCTCTTATTGAAATTACTTAGTGGTTGGTGAAATTACTAAAATTTGTTACCTGGTTCCGATGATATAATAGTAATAAACCTTTTATGCAATGGTATAAATCGCTGAACTTAGTTTCAAAGTTTCTTGCTAATCACAAAACTGCATTATGGTGCATATCCATAAATCGTAGTGCATTGATCGTTTGCAAGGATCATCATAAAATAAAGCAAAATATAATAAAACAGAAAAAAAAAGGTACAACTTTCCAATGGAGCAGAACACCGCGACCATTGTTGATCTTTTGTGCTGTAACAAACCCTTACCGAACAGAATACATTCCGCCCTTCGAATGAAGGCCAGAATGTCAGCCCTCGAGGACCTCTGGTTGATCGCAGTCGCTTCCACCTGTATTGTTGGAATCGCGGACGACACCGAAATTAGACCTAAATGCTAGTCCTTCAGATATGTTGTTTGGTAATCCTTTTTATGCTCCAGGTCAGATGCTTTCGGACATTAAACAAAAATCATTGGAAACTGATTTTATTTCGTCGCTGCGAAGGGTTTTGGCGAAGGTGAAATCTGTTGGGGCTACTAGATACTGTCAGCCATCTGTTTTTGTTCCGCTTGATGTTATGAGTTGTAAGCACGTTTTTCTTCGAGTGGACAGTGCGCGAGCTCCACTTGAACAGCCATACAAGAATCCATTTCAAGTGCTGCGGCGTAGCGAGAGAAGGTCGGTCATTGTTTGCCACGGAAAATAGTTTACAGTTTCGAATGACAGGTTAAACTCAGCGTACTTAACGTGTGTGAAAGATTAGTGCATTCCACCGCTAGGATGAGATACTATGGCAATGCAAGTAGGCTATGAGTTTCTTAAAATTGAAATGCAAAATTCAATTTCAGAAATGTTCACTTTTTGAATTTTGGTGAAAAACAACTCTTCACATTTCGTTTCAAGTAGAACTGAAGAAAGTTTGATTTGGATTGTTAAAGATTCATGTTTTTGTTTATTAACAAAGTTTGGAGTTCTTTGTTAAAATCGAAATTGGCATTACTTGTTCTTGACTTATGTTTTTTGTTGTTATTATGTTGAGACTAGTTGAGTCAGTGCATTTGAGCACTTTAACTCTCTATTAATTGTGAGGTTTTTTATAACCCCTCTTTACGTCTTGACTGGATTATTGTTTATCACTTCAACAGGCTAAGCAATAATTGACCTTAGATCTGCACACATCCCTGAGGAGCCTGTAAGCATTCTGAGATATGATAACAAGGTGTTGATAAGTCTGTAAGTTTTGTGTTGCGTAGAATTGAACTAAAATGAATATTAAATCGGCAATGCTTAGCATTTTTATCTTATATATTTAAATTAATTAATTTATTTATGTATTTGAATTTATTAGTAAATGAAATGCTTATATCACTTTAACGAATGACTGAAATTTTGTTCCAGCAAACATTCACAATAGACTGATTTTTGAATTTGGCTGCACTGAAATTTATGTGTCATGGTTTACAAATGTTAATAGCTTTGCGAGTATTTATTAAAATTTTATAAAACCCTATTAATTATGTTAAATAAAACAACAATAAGTAATATTTTTAAGTTTTATCGGAATGGTTTCTGAAAGTAGTGAACTACACCAACAAAACTTCTTTCATATATGGTATTATTTAATTACTTGAATTTTTGACTGACTGAAAATTTTGGCTATTTCCAGTCTCAAATATTTATTTTCGAATAATTATATGTAAAAGATAATTCCAAGATCACATATGTTGTGATATTTTTTGTTGTGATTTTTTTTTGTTGTAGCTCATCACTTTTCAATTGTATGATTATTACATGTAATTACATTACTGTGAGTAGCCTTATTAAATAAATATTTGTAAATTGTAAGTATTAAAAATAATATATTTTAGTTGTTTTTAAAAAAAATTTTGTTCTTGAAAACAAGCAATATTTCGCAAATATTTTACAATAAGAAAAAAAACTTGACAAAAACTTGAATGCTATAAATCAATAAAAATATTTTTTAAAATTCTATTAACCCTATCCCTTTTTCAATTCAAATGTTTATTTGAACAAGGAAGCCCATTTTTTTCGTTCCAGTAACCCTGTTACCCTTCACGGCATCGTTTCTAACTTTGTGCATATCCGGCACATTTTAGTTGCGGGCTGTTAACTAATGTTTGTGGCAGCGTATCTATCTCTAGATGGATTTAGTTTGCGAATCGTGATATTTTGTATTTGTGCTTGAGTAATTAAATTAAAGCTAAGAACTTGTTTTTTGTAATTGAATACAGACTTATATTGATAATATTTATTAATATTAAAATATATAAGTTTCTTCTTGCGAAGCAAAAATTGTGGAATATGGCTAACAGTATTGATAACAATATGGCTGACAATGTTGATGACAATATGGCTGACACTGTTGATGACAGTAACGCCGTTGATGACAATGCGGAAGACATACCAAACTTGTAAGAATAAAACAGATATTTTAATTTTTTTTTAATGATCAATATTAATTAATTTATTAAAACGTACTTTTCAACCATTATGTCTAAATACGTCTATCAATAATATCTCAATAGCTTTCATTAATATTATCCTTTTTAAATCAATATACAATATGATCTTTATAAAAAATTTTAAATTTTTTAATATATTTTAAAATTTTTTTTTACTAAATTCATTTGCATTAAATGTGACATTTTTCTAATTCATAAATTTCGTGAAAAGATTGACACCAAGTTGTGATAATTCCAAAACGATGGCTAAGAGAGGACGTCCAAGCGTCAAAATCACACGCAATGCCGATGGAAAGATTGAATGTGATTTTTGCGATAGTACATTTACCCAACTTAGTTCTTATAAGCGGCATATGTTCATCCATGCAGGAATAAAGCCGTTTGTATGTGAATATTGTGACAAAGGATTCCGACGGCGTGCTGTATTAAAAATTCACATACGCCTACACACAGGTGATAAACCTTATAAGTGTGATATATGCACCTTAGCGTTCACCTCAAAATATGGTTTAGAAGTGAGTATCAAGAACTGAGCTATTTAATTAGTTTTTATTAAACTATTTTAATTTAGACACACAAAAAACGTCATAATGCTGTAACTAAAAAAAGTACGCGAAAATATTATTGCAAAGTTTGTCGAAAAAAGTTTAAGAGCCATGACGAAAAAATGCTGCATCACCAAACAAATGATTCACCTTGCTTTCAGCAAACTAAGGCTAAATATATTAAAGATAAAATATCAGGTCCGACTACTGCGGCATCATCTTTTACTTGCATTACTTGTCACAAAAAGTTCTCGACCACAAAAGATTTATTTAATCATCAACAAGGACGTAACGTTATAACCTTTGAGTGTAAACATTGCAAAATTCTGTTTCCTAGTAAAACTGAACTGTTATACCATCACATAAGATCACATAACGGTGAAGAAAATGATGTGATTTGCAACGATGAAAATAATGCCTCTTCAACAGTAGTCAACAACGATGTTATCAATATTGAGAAATTATCAGTTTATGAATGTGATGCCTCTTCAACAGGCAACGATGTCATCAACAATGTAGAATTATCAGTTTGTAAATCTAGTACATCTTCAAGACCAGGCAATGCCGTGATCAACAATAAAATACCATGTGAAAATGATACATCTTCAATTAAAAATAGCGACGGTCCGCATTGCTCCAAACACACAAACTTGAATAACATCGAAAAAGCAAATCCATTTATTGCATTTTTTTCACTTTATAATACTAATACTACCAAAGAAGTAGGTTCAAAACACCACCAATGTACAGTGTGCAACACTGTATTTACAACGGGATCGTCATTGAAAGTACATTTACGTACACACACAAAAGAAAAACCATTCGAATGCACATTTTGCTTAAAACGATTCACCCGCAATAGTCTTTTAAAAGTGCACCTAAGAACTCACACTAAAGAAAAATCAAATTACCACAAAAACTACAAATCACAAGTAAGTCGAATTAATAGACTTCAATATATATAAACAGTAATTATAATCTGTTCTTGTTACAGGTACATATCGAACGTAAACACGAGCATCGCACAAAAACAGAAGTTATTAATCCCTCTACCACTCATTGCCACCAACCGGATTCCGATTTAGAGAAAATTTTCGACTTTATTTACAAGTGTGAAATTTGTGGTAATGATTTCAATGACTACACAATATATAAAAATCATGTAGCGACACATGAATTACACGAGAATCCCACGGCAACGGAAAGTGTTAATCATAGCTCTAATTGCCACCAATCGGTTTTTGAGGACACCAAATCACAGGAGAGTACCGACGCTTATTTCAAATGTCAAATCTGTGGTAATGAGTTCAATAACTATGCAATATATAAACTCCATGTAGCGGTACATGAATTATATGAGGATCCGTCGGAAACGGAAAGTGTTAATCTTAATCATACCACTCATTTCCACCAATCGGTTTTTGAAGATTCCGATTCACAGGAGAGTACCAATATAGATTATAAGTGTGAAGTTTGTGGTAATGAGTTCAATGACTTTACAATATATAAGAACCATGCAGCGGCACATGAATTACTGGAGAATCCCACGGAAACGGAAAGTGTTAATCATAGCTCTAATAGCCACCAATCGGTTTTTGAAGATACCGAATCACAGGAGAGTACCGACGCTTATTTCAAGTGTCAAATCTGTGGTAATGAGTTCAATAACTATGCAATATATAAACTTCATATAGCGGTGCATGAATTATATGAAGATCCGAAGGAAACGGAAAGTATTAATCATACCACTCATTTCCACCAATCGGTTTTTGAAGATTCCGATTCACAAGAGAGTACCGATACGAATTATAAGTGTGAAGTTTGTGGTAATGAGTTCAATGACTTTACAATATATAAGAACCATGCAGCAGAACACGAATCGCAAGTGCAGACCACAGCAGAATATAAAAGCGATAATCGTTCAAATGACTTTGGATTGATTATTCCAAATTTTTTTGACGAAGATTAAAGGACCAAAGATTAAAGGACTGAAAGCTCACCTATTTTTGTTATTCTGTCAATATATAATATAAGATAATTTTTTAAAAATAATAATTTTGTATTAACGAAAAAAGTAGTGGAAAAAAAGAGTTTATGCTCCGGCCATGCCAAAGGCAACCGACTGTACTCTACCGAAAATTAGCAATATAAGTCTTGAATATAAAATTTGTATACTTGATAAACACTGTTCAATGTATTGTTTATTATTATAAAAACTTAAGCATATATAAAAAATTTAAAAGTGTATGGTAAAATAATAAATATATATAAAAAGCCACTTAATATATGACAAAATATTCCTCTATAATATAATTAGTGTTTAAATAAATATATGTTATGCATAAATTTATATGTGTAAAATGCTGTAACAATTTCAATATTTTGGTGATCTACTTTAATAACTTCAGATAAATATTTATATTAAGTTATAGTAAACGACAAAATATCTTCTTAAAATACTGATCATTTTCAAATAACATATATATTTATACTTATAAATATATGCCTTTATATATATATATGCCTTCTACTTCTCAAAGACCTTGCTGAAAGGAACAGAGTCCACTTAAGGATTCCAGGGCACAGCGGTTTTGAGGAAAACGAAAAAGCAGATGAACTAGCGAGAAAAGGGGCAGCCTCATATTATATTGGGCCACAACCATTCTGCGGTCCTTCGTGTAGCTTTTTCAAACTTTAAACTAATGAATGGCTGGAAAGAGCAGCTCAGAATGATTGGGATAATACAATTGCCTGCAGACAAGCAAACGAATCCATGCCGTTTCGATCAAAAGCCAGACTTAAGGAGCTACTTATGCTGAACAGAAGTGGCATCCGACTTGTCACAGGATTTCTAACTGGACACTGCGGAGTTAAAAAACATTTATTGAATCTAGGTATTACTGGAGACGATAGCTGCAGACTTTGTTACGAAGAAGAGGAAACAGCAGAACACATTTTGTGTCACTGTGATAGTCTTGCAAGAGTCAGACTTTGCTACTTATCCACTGCCTATCCGCTTATAACGGAATTAGGCAACATCTCTCCAAAGGACATATTGGCATTCTTAACTGCTACTCGTCTATGGAACTGAAGTGGGTATGTCACAATAATCCTCGAGGATGCAGTGACGCGGTGACTAGTTCCCAACCCTTTTTGAAAATAAAAAAAATAAAAATATATCTTTAAATATATAATTCTTCTGTACGTGTGTTGACAGTGAACTCCTCCTAAACGGCTGAACCGATTTTGATGAAATTTTTTATGTGTGTTCAAGCGGATGCAAGGATGGTTTAGATTCACAACTTGGTCCACTGGATAATGTTTTTTTAATTATTATACAGTTTTTTGGTATCCATATACATTTAAAATTAATTCATGCTTACTTTGATTTGTTTAAAGTCTCTAAAATTAATCGTTCAACTATCCTGTTGAATATTTGAATTCACTGGATTTATCAGAAATGTCACCCCATAACTTAAGATTAAAAATTGGTTCACCCATAATTATGCTGCAGAATTGAAATGCACCTAAGCTATGCAACGGCACGAGATTAGTAATAAAAAAAAATGATGGCAATGTTCTTGAAGCTACAATTTTGACCAACAAATTTGAAGATGAAGCTGTTCTCCTGCCCAATGATCCCTTCAGACTTACCCATTCCATTCAGATGGCTGCAATTTTCAATTCGCTTGGCATTTGCCATGACTATTAATAAGTCACAAGGTCAAACAATATCGATTTGTAGGATAGATATTGTAGGATATTTATAGGATTGTATGCGTGTTCTCGCGTTGGAAAATCGTTAACTTTATTTATTTATACTCCTCAAGAATTGACTAAAAATATTGTTAATCAACTCGCATTAAGATGAAATTAAACAAACATTATTGATTATTACGAATTGTTTTTAGAAAAATAGATGTTCTTTCAAAATAAAGAATAACAAAATTATTACATTATTTGTCTTTTGTTTCTTACTTTGTTTAATATCCTAATCGCTTAGTATTTATATATATCTATGTACATATAAATACGTTTACTTACATATATAATGAACTTTAAACTATATACATATATATCAAACTTTAAATAAACAGTTTAGTACTAAGTACTAAACTAAAGTGTTAAAGCACCAATTTTTCACTTTATAGGTGGCCAGATGAAGCAATAGCACAGCTAATGCCGCTTATATGTACAAGATTAAATCATATTTATGTCTTTACTTCCTTGATTTCTTGAAATATGAGACGAAACTACAGGAAATCTACTACATACTGTTATGGCATCAAGCCTTCTACATCAATTTAAACATTTTTATTTATTACTTTTCTTTGATTTTATTAGCACATAATATATTCAATCATTTATACTATGTAAACATATACAACATATAATAAAATTATTATTAATTATATATATGTATATATATATATGTATCGACCTCATCAGTAGCAGTAATTGTCTTATTTCTCAGACATTCAGACATTACAATGTCTTAATCAAAAAACAACACCCAAAAGATGATTGTTCAATGGAATAAAGGAACGAGTGTAACTGCATATAATCAAAAACAACCTAGTGTTTCAAAATCGTAAAGCCCGGAATTTCTTCCAATCTAAACCACACTTATATACGTGTGAAAAATGCTTAATGATCACCACAAATTCCTTAATTCTATTCAGTACATATAAGTTCAAGGATGGAATTGAGTATATGGTTATACAACCTCAAAGTAAGGTCAAAGTGAGGTGGTTACGACATATAAATTATTGTACATATATACACATACATATATATATATATACATTATTTATAGCGTGGTGTACATACATGATATATTGATATTATATACATATTATATAAATGTTATATAATAAATAAATTACAAAGTTCATGTTTATGTACGTATTAATATAAAAAGATATTAATAACAACAAAAGAATTATAAATTTACTCCTGATCGCAACTGCCATCCAACCAGCCATCCTTCCAACGCTCAGCCACCTTACTGCAATCGTACTCTGGTTTACCCAACTTTTCATTCACCGCATTATGAAATATGCATAACCACATGTTCAATTCCAGCCTTGAACTCACTTGGATTGGATTAGAATCCAGGTATTTGAGGTAATCAGCACAGCATGTTTTACACGGATATAAATGAGGAATCGATTCGTAAAAATTCGTGGCCATACGCATTTGAAACACAGTAGGTTGTTCTGGATAATATGCAGCGAATGAGTGCATAATACTCCACGCAGTCTTCCCCATGAATGCTTTGTTCATGGGACAATCCTCTCGTAGGATACGCGCTTTTTGAACTGGCATTGGATCTTTATCTGGTGCAGTTTGAGTACATGTTCTCTTTATGTACGACCATAATGTAGGTTTATTAGACAGTTTTGCAAACGTAAACATTATGACTAAACTAAAAGTTTGAATTTAGGTATAAAAAACGTATAAGACGAGTGGTGAATTGTTCTTCCCAAATTAATTTATTTCAAACGAGTTCCATCACCAAAGGTCAGTGTTCTAAATATTTAGAGTTCTATTATCACTGAAAATTGACTCAATTAATAGTAGACATTTACTTTATGTCATAATACATATATTTTTTATTGGATTGTTTCTGGCCTTCTTTGTTGTACATATATATGTATATTGAATAATCCATTATAAATAAAATTTTTAATACCTTCTAAATAATATGTCTTTGCAGAGTATGTACCATATAAATATTAAAATTTTATAGACATGTATGTATAACTCAAATATATCAAGCAGATTTTAACATATTGTGGAGAGTTTTGCTTTGTATAGAAATATGTATACAATAACATCCAGAAAATAATTTCAAACCTTTTTATTTTATTTTTTATACCATCATTTAATTTATTTCTTAACCGTATTGTTACTCTTTGATATGTTATAAATATGATTACTGTGATTTTGCAATATATACTTTTGGTCAAGTCCTACAAAACAGTTTAGTGATTGACTTACTACTAGAATGTAAATTTTTTCTATTTTATAAATTCTATTAATAAGGATAAGGATTTTTTTTGTTTTTTATTAACGATTCTTAAAATAATGAAAAAAAAGTTTTAATATTGCATCTAGTTCAAATAACTAATAAGAGGTACTAATAAGCAATTTGATTTGAATATTTAAGGTAATAACGAAGCCATTATGTACCTTAAAATATTTGCACAAGTTTCACCTTTAATTTTATATACCATACTGTATAAGGTAACTTCAGGAAAAAAAGTTATAGGGGTATATGATGTTATGAGAAAAGTCAAAATAATGGTTTTTCACAAATAAATCGAAAACAGTACACAGGAAAAAAAATTAAATTTGATTTTTGAGTTCTACGGTAAATTTCCCTATAGGAAATATAGGTCGCGTCTTAGGAAATTTTTGGTTGTAAATTAGTGTAATTTAATATTTAATGTGATATTAAATTGCTTAGTCTACTAAAAGGTATAATAAGTTGATAAATACGTAGAAAACGTAAACGTCGGAATGTAGTAAATGCCATTAGCTTTAACCGAATACACATTACGAATCCAACATAAAATCAAAAACAACGCAAATTAAATCCGACCACTAAATAGTTTGCAGCTATAGAAATGCAAGACTTTTGCGCAATGTTTGCATCAACTGATTTATTATTTCTCTTGCGTCCTATTTTTTTGCGAAAGTGGTAATTTTTCACGAAATTTTCAAACAGTTTTTTTATTCACAACAACTTTAATTTAATTATTTATAATTATTTATAGTTCTACGAAACATCTTGGCTGGAGCGAACAAAGTTTTATTATAAGATATCATTAATGACTCCAATCAATGAATAAATGCTATCACAAACTCTACAAAGGTTGTTTTTAAAGATCCTAATTAAAAAGACCCTAACTAATTTAATGCAACACCTGATATAAAAAGATAAAATATATGTCAATTATAAAATTGTCTTAAGAATGATATATTTTAAGAATATAATACGCAATTATATATCAGAAATAGAAAATAGAAAAAAGGAATAAATAGAAGGGAAATCGTTTGGTACACACTTTTGCAACACAGTACGCTGTGGTAGGTATAATCGAATTTATTGAGGGGAAAATAAAAAACACGACGAAGCAAATGAATTAGACGCCATATTACTTTCTCCCATGAATCAAAGTGTGCCACGTATTCAAATAAGTGGTGTAAAATATGACGAACTGACCACTTAGAAAAGAGTTTCCTTGCGACAATATTTTTAATTTGATTTAAATAAAATAGTACTATGCAATGCAATCCAAAACATTTGTTGAATATACAAATAAAAACCTACAAAAAATTAATTATAAAAATCAATTCTCTTCATAGAAATTCTTATGCTATATATATCAATTTTATTATAAGTTTGTTTTTATAGTTGTGCGAATCAGGCTTGATGCCCCTGAATTCACAAATCAAACCTGTTCAAAATTTCAATCCTATGGTTTAAACACTGAGAGCCGAATTTGTAGACGCCCAGAGTGTTGAAGAGTCAGCCCGACAAAAAGACGTGTCTAAAACAAATATAGCCTTATCCTTATTAAAAGAACTTATAAAATAGAAAAAATTTACATTCTAGAGTAGTATGTCAATCGCTAAACTGTTTTGTAAGACTTGACCAAAAGTATATATTGCAAAATCACAGTAATCATATTTATAACATATCAAAGAGTAACAATACGGTTAAGAAATAAATTAAATTATGATATAAAAAATAAAATAAAAAGGTTTGAAATTATTTTCTGGTTGTTATTGTATACATATTTCTATACAAAGCAAAACTCTCCACAATATGTTAAAATCTGCTTGATATTTTTGAGTTATACATACATGTTTATAAAATTTTAATATTTATATGGCACATACTCTGCAAAGACATATTATTTAGAAGGTATTAAAAATTTTATTTATAATGGGTTATTCAATATACATATATATGTACAACAAAGAAGGCCAGAAATAAATAAAAATAAAAAATATATGTATTATGACATAAAGTAAATGTCTACTATTAATTGAGTCAATTTTCAGTGATAATAGAACTCTAAATATTTAGAACACTGACCTTTGGTGATGGAACTCGTTTGAAATAAATTAATTTGGGAAGAACAATTCACCACTCGTCTTATACGTTTTTTATACCTAAATTCAAACTTTTAGTTTAGTCATAATGTTTACGTTTGCAAAACTTTCTAATAAACCTATATTATGGTCGTGCATAAAGAGAACATGTACTCAAACTGCACCGGATAAAGATCCAAAGCCAGTTCAAAAAGCGCGTATCCTACGAGAGGATTGTCCCATGAACAAAGCATTCATGGGGAAGACTGCGTGGAGTATTATGCACTCATTCGCTGCATATTATCCAGAACAACCTACTGTGTTTCAAATGCGTATGGCCACGAATTTTTACGAATCGATTCCTCATTTATATCCGTGTAAAACATGTTGTGCTGATTACCTCAAATACCTGGATTCTAATCCAGTCCAAGTAAGTTCAAGGCTGGAATTGAACATGTGGTTATGCATATTTCATAATGCGGTGAATAAAAAGTTGGGTAAACCAGAGTACGATTGCAGTAAGGTGTCTGAGCGTTGGAAGGATGGCTGGTTGGATGGCAGTTGCGATCAGGAGTAAATTTATAATTCTTTTGTTCTGATTAATATCTTTTTATATTAATACGTACATAAACATAAACATGAACTTTGTAATTTATTTATTATAGAACATTTATATAATCTATAATATGTATATAATATCAATATAACATGTATGTACACCTCGCAATATATAATGTATATATATATGTATGTGTATATGTGTACAATAATGTATATGTAGTAACCACCTTACTTTGACCTTACTTTGAGGTTGTATAACCATATACTCAATTCCATCCTTGAACTTACATGTACTGAATCTAATTAAGGAATTTGTGGTGATCATTAAGCATTTTTCACACGTATATAAGTGTGGTTTAGATTGGAAGAAATTCCTGGCTTTACGATTTTGAAACACTTGATTGTTTTTGATTATATGCAGTTACACTCTACGTATTTTTTCCTACATTCCTTTATTCCATTGAAAAATCATCTTTTGGGTGTTGTTATTTCATTAAGACATTGTAATGTCTGAATGTCTGAGAAATAAGACAATTACTGCTACTGATAAGGTCAATACATATATACATATATATACATACATATAATTAATAATAGTTTTAAAATATGTTATATATGTATACATAGTATAAACGAAAAAATATATTATGTGCTAATAAAATAAACGAAAGGTAATAAATAAAAATGTTTAAATTGATGCAGAAGGCTTGATGCCATAACAGTTTGTAGTAGATTTCCTATAGTTTCGTCTCTTATTTCAAGAAATCAAGGAAGTAAGGACATAAATATGATTTAATCTTGTACATATAAGCTGTGCTATTGCACAGCTAATCCCGCTTCTGCGAAGTACCTTTGCGATTACCGTCCTTCTTCAAGTATGTTCTCTAATAGAAAGCAGTTTGAAGTGTACGCTTTAATTAACCAGAGTTTATATTATTTAACTGAAAATGTTGTTGAAACCACCTTGAATGTATGCAGAGGCTGATAGTACTTTATGACATAGATTGCCTTCTCTATAAGCAAATCGAGGTACCATGCCCCCTAATATGGCTTGAGCTGCTTTTTTTATTCCTTCACAACTCAAATTCAATAGATGACAAAAAAGAGAATTCGCGACGGGTACTGAGGTGGAATTAAGAAAACAATTCTAAAAACGAGCTCTGAGGATTAAGTTATTCATTGGCGGAAGTCTATTGTTTCGAAAGGAATCTACTTTGAAGTAGATGCAATAAATATTGATGAATAAAACATATTTTGAGATAACAGGTATAATAGTATGTATGTTATGATATGTATGTTATACATTGTGACCGAAAAGTTTCCGGTCACAATGTACAAACGCAAAATTCTTAATCTTCATCAATATTTATTTTATCTCCTTCAAAATATGCTCCATTAGAAGCGATACACAAATGCCAACGTTTCTTCCAATCATCAAAACATTTTTTATAGGCGCTTTCCGGTATGGCTTTGAGTTCCCTCTGCGAATTCTGTTTTTCGTCTTCTATGGATTCAAAACGCGTTCCTCTGAGTGGTAATTTGAGTTTGGGAAACAGGAAAAAGTCACACGGTGCAAGATCAGGTGAATACGGTGGCTGTTTGATGGTATTTATTGAATGTTTGGCCTTAAAATCGTTGATAATGTTGGCTCGGTGCGAGGGAGCATTATCGTCATGAAAAATCCATGAATTATCCTTCCACAATTGAGGCCGTTTACGGCGGATAGCTCTCACGACCGATGCCTAGCTCTCGTGCTATCTCTCTAACACTCACATGAGGATTTTGGAACACGATTTCCTTTGCCTTTTCAATGTTTTCGTCGGTGGTAGAGGCCGAAGGTCGTCCAGAACGCGGCATGTCTTCGACGGTCGTACGACCGTCCTGAAAGGCTTTGTACCACTCATAAACTTGAGTTTTCGATAAAACTGATTACCCATAAGCCTTTTGTAGCATTCGCAACGATTCTGCACACGAAATTTCGTTCGAAACACAAAATTTGATGCAAACTCTTTGTTCAATATTTTTTTCCATTGTTTTTTCGCAACGCACTACTGAGGGGAACTGGTTTCAACAGCTGCCGTAAACGAACTGTCTGACAGATCGCGCTCATTTTTGGCATAGTAATTAAGGACAGTGCTGCCAAACTACATAAACTTAAAATATCGAAAAATATACAGCGCGCGAATTTTAAATGAGAACTTCCGAAAACCTTTCGGTCACAATGTACATTTGTAGCATATTAATTACTGTTCAACTTCCATAAATGCTAATCATTTTTACATAAAGCTGTAATGAAAAACGTAGGATTTATTCCCCAAATATTAAATTAACAAGAGTTTTTATTTTTTATTTTATTTAACAATATTTTTCTAATAAAATAAAATAGAGTTTTTCTTAAATTTAAAAACACTATTTACTAGAGATTAAATCGCTTTGATTGATATGTCAGGAAGTAAATTAAATTATTTAATCGATGCATACATATTTTTCTCTCTTAACAGAAACATAGATATGCAAATAAATCTTATCTTAGGTCTTAAAAAAAAAAAATGTGTAGTAGAAAGAATTGTAATAAATCTATCTATCAATTTCACTTGTTCTTTCCTGCAAATCCAAATGCATTTAAGAGAATTTTTTCTTTAATATGGCATTGCTTGGTTTTGAAATTCCATTTGCATTCATATTGCGATAAGAAAAATGGAAAATGTTCAAATGTGGGTTTACTATTTCACTCTTCATTATACTAGATTGCAATGTCAATTTTCCAAAGATGACACAGGTACTGGTGTCAATAATGATGTTTCCTAACAGAAAGAGTAAAACTAAAACGAGAATCGCAAATAATGAACTTCAAGAGCCGCAGAAGTAACACTTGTGACAATGGGGTTTCGTAGCAAACGAACCCAATTTCAAGTATTAACGGATAGATATATAAAATCAAAAAAATGTTTGCATATAAGAAAATATTATAAATTTCGTTTTCTATATTATTACACTAAAAATATAAAAAAAAAATTAGCTTTAACTTTGCCAATGTTTCAACGGATTTGTTTTTATCTATTTGTTAAGTCTATCTTGCCTTTAAGATAGCTTTGACTGAGATGGGCAACGATTCTTTCCTAACATATTTTAAAAAATTAGATCCATATTCTGGTAAATATAGGCTTGTAACCTAAATATTTTAAGATTTTACAGAATAGCAACAAAAAATCATAGTAGTTACATAGATATTCTATAGACCCTCGACAAAGTTTGACATGAGTGCATCTTATTCAAGATAGAGAATTGCTGCGTACATCATATCATTGAAATTTGATAAATCGTCTCCATAACTTATAAATACAGTTGCTTTACAATGAAATATTCTAAGATCTATTACGTATGTTCTGGTAAAAAAGAGTATGTCTATCATAAATAATGAAAATAGCAAAATGTAGTTGTGACTTGGATGTTATTATCCAAGTCTATCTATTATTATCATAAAATACTAAGCTTATCAAATTTTCGAAACTTCTATTTAACTAGATTCTATTTTATGTTTATACTGGTTACTAAGTAAGTTATTTAAGTAACTTTAAAATTTTGTCGTTTACATTGACATCAGTTACTTATTGCAATCTTAAATGCAACCTTTAGAAACTAATTTCTAACAAGGAATATTCTCAAAATTTTAAACATTTGTGATATGTTTTATATGTAAAATGTAAATAAACAACATAAATCAGCTTATACCAATGGAAACGACCAAATCTTAATTTCATTAAAATAAGTTTTAGCTCCAGTGAAAACATGATGTAAGAGAAATAGATTTTTCCAATAATGTTCTGTCCAATTCCCTAAAGTGATTCATTAAAGTATTTCTATTTTCATTTAAATCTTACTACTAACATAAAAAATTAATTTAAAATCCTTAAGCTAAGGATTATAAAATAGTTTTGAAAGAAAGATTCAATATAACAAAACCATAATAAAGATTACAGGGATACGTGATTTACAATTATGTGGCAGAATTTTACTAATATTAAAATTGGTACTAGTCAAAAAAGACTGATGAATTATAGTTAATGCTTATACTATGTTCAGACATACCTTAATTTCCAAAACATCTTAATTTCATCTTCTTTTTAGCGAAATTAAGTAATTTTTTCCGCACAAAATTCAGTTTTAAGGTTAGAACGAAATTAGGGTTAGAACGAAAATTAAGATAATGCTTTTACTATGTTCAGACATTCCTTAATTTTGCAAACATCTTAATTTCATCTTCTTTTCAGCGAAATCAAGTTGTTTTTTCCATACAAAATTCAGTTTTAAGGTTAGAACGAAATTAAGAAAAATGGCCTTAATTTCAAATGCAACTATGGGAAAGATAAATTTATAGCAAAAGATTAGTTAATATAACAAAAAAGTGACATTTATTTTTAGAAAGAACTGACTGGGAAAATATTTTGAAAGTAAAGCACATTTTTAAATTTTAATGTAAAGAAAAAACTGTACTATTATTAATATAAATATATATAGGTAGAATGAAAAATAATAAACCACATACCTGAAATTCACTATAACTAATAAAACTACTAAATAGTGATTCTTTATAGTTATATTTATAAAGTTTTTTAATTTCGCAGATATATAAATGGTGTTTTGAGCATGTAATTTTTAACAATCGATTTTTAAACAAAAAATATATGATTTTCTTAATTTGGTGCAATATGAACACTTTCCAAATGAACTTAATTTTATTTTAATGAAATTAAAGAAATTTGGTTGTCTGAATATAGTATTATTTTTATATTTCTAATACAAATATGCACAAAAATCCAAAAATTACTTATAGTACATTGAAATAGTCACAATCAGGCTCTTCACCATTTATATTAATGACTGAGCGTTCATATTGAAATAAGCTCATTTGTGCAGCTGATGGAAATTTTTGTAAACATTGATAAACTTCATTTAATAATATAACACTGAAAAAAATTTAATATACAATTGATATATTAAATTATTTATATACATTTTAGAAGTCACTTAAATACTCAACAAAAATTTTATCAAGTTTTTACTTCCTCAGTGCCTTTGTTTACAGCTCAGCTGTTGTTTGTTTACATTTTACATATAAAACGTATGACACAAGATTTATTTCTAAGGGTTGCATTCGACATATCTCGCTTTAAATGAGGTAATTTATTGACAATGAGCTCATTTATATGAAAGATTTTTGTATGATAAATCATCCACATTAATAGCTATAATGAGCAAATCCACCTAAATGAGACAGTGTGAATGTGCTATACTATTAAATAAAGAAGGATAAACTTGTTTAGTTATTAAAAATTAATTTTTATTAGCAATTAAAAAATAAAAACCATATATATTTAAAAATCTGGCAATGCACTAAACCATTTTACTTCATTTTTCTTCTTTCAAGTTTATTTTTCCTATCACGTGTATGTCCACAAATTTTCAATTCTGAATTCAGATTGTTAGGTAAAATTTTGTGAAAAAAGATAAATGTGCACCTAAAGGTTAACACACGTTCATTTGTTATTCAGCTGGTTATCTTCGTTTATCTGGTAGATGTTAAACACGAATTGCTACGATATCACTTGTCAATAAGGATAATGACAGCGACAACACTTGCTGAATATGGATTGGCTGCATAGTGCGCTACGTAGTTATGTTGTCATTCCTGTAATCGATATTCTTAAATGAAGTTCAATGGTTGGCATTACTGACAAATGACGAAAAAAGCATGTCAATTTATTAAATTTATGGTATTTAATTGCTTTGCCATTTATAGGCAAACTGTTTCGTATCTATAAATTTATTGGCAGCAATTTTTTTTTAATTGGCAATACTTTTTTTAGGTGTAAAAGTACGATTTACTTTTCATGCTGTCAAACACATGTATTGCAAGTAAATAGTAAGCTGCGATAAAAGTTTGTTCAAAAATTAATATCAAATAAACTTTTTTTTCACAAAGAATTTGGCAGTCTTGTTCTAAGTACGGAGTAAGAATACCGCAAGAAATTTTTTACATTGTAAGTAGTCTTGAAAATCATTCTATAAGTCTAAATGCTTATATATAAATCTGTATTTTTATCTTTAAACATTTCGTAATTAATTGAATTTATTACGCAAAAGGGATTTTCACTTCGTCTAAAATCAAACTGAAAATTCTTTTAACATTTCAAAAAATGATATATTTCATGAATATTGTATTCAACAGACATCATATCGACAAATAACCAATATAAATACATAACGAAAAGTAAAGTTCAGGTAAGTTTTAAGATGTTATATCCTTTGTGATTTTCCATAATCTTTATTAAAGCAAGTATTCAATTATATTCACAAAGTTTTAAAATCTTATAACGACACTTGTAAAATGGTATATTTTTTCTCAACTGTTCTCTTTCTGTTACTCCGGTCTTACTATATTACAATTTACTGTGTCGCATCGCAGAGGAGCACAATAGACCCGATGGTCGCAGTGCCACATCTCCTCACAGAAATTACAGAAGATTTCAAACGATTTTGCCTAACTAATCCATAGTCAAAGTCTGACAAAATCATACAATTTTTTTTTGCAATATATCGCATTCAATCATTTTGCAAATTTGGAAGTAAATCGTTAGTGGATCTGTAAATAAGGTTGTTTCATTTTTTTTAAGTTCCAAGTTAGTAACGTTGCTACGAAGAGTAGCGTTGTTCTATAATATAAATTTTAGATATCAATTTTTTTGTTAAAAAATAAAAGTGAAATTAAAACAAATACAACATTAGTAGGATAATGAAAAATCTTTTGATTGTTGTATAGACTTATAGAATTTAATTGGTAATTTTCAATTTATATGATAAAAATTTGTCAAAAGTTGAGATAAGATTGTGATAAAAATTTGTCAAAAGTTTACTTTTTCCAAGAAAATCGACATATATACAAAAAACGCATTTTTTCTAATTAAAAACTAACTAAGCTCTAATTACAATAAATATAAACCACACTCAAAAAAATAATTTAGTTAATTTAACTAGATTTTAACTAATTCTCAGATCAAAATATACTTACTCGACGCATCAGATCGGTTCAACCATACTACCATGTTGGTTTTCATATCTTCTTTACCACATGAACTAAAATCTTTCTAACAAAATTATCAAGTCAAATTAACCTGTATGTAGTTAGATCATATTTTTTTAAGTGTATATATATAAATCTGTAGCAAAAAGTTCAGATTTACATAAAAGTTCCATGTAGAATATGTGAGACGAAATCGTTAAAATGAAATAATAATTTTCGCAGCAACCTTCAATTTAAGAATGACAACAACGAAAGAAAACTGAGATAGGAACCGGAAATGGAGGAGGTTTGTATTTGAAATAAGTCAGAGAAACATATTGTGTAAACTTCGGAAGAAATCTCATCACAGAGAGCGAAGTAGCACTATGTCGAGCTTAGCACTATGCATTATAATTATTGCCACCACAAAGAACTTTTACTGCAATGGCCCAAATCAGTTATAGATTAAATTGAAAGGGCACAAGAGGAAAAAAACTGAATAAGGTATTCATAGCAAACTCCGCATCACTACGCAGCACTACTCTACTCTTATGAATGGTGCAGAGGAAAAAGAAACAGAACTCTATTGAGAAAGAATACCAGGACTCTCACAATCTAAAATGCTATTAGGGACTTACAACCTAAAACGCTTCAAAGATTTCATAGCAATATCAAAAAAATAACCTAAGAATTATTACGGGATTATTGACCGGTCACTTTAGATTTTATAATCACCCATCGAAGTTAGGAATTCGATCCAACTCAGACTGCAGCTACTGTAAAGAAGAGAGTGAAACTGTATACCATGTACTTGGAGTGTGCCCGGCACTGATGCACAAGCAGAAGAAACACTTTGGAGGGTGTTTCATGGATCATAAAGATTCAAGATTAGTAAAGATAGGCTCTATACTGTCTTTCATTAAAGAAATTGGACTTGGAGAAACACTCTAACCCGAGTAAGGGGCACAATAGATCTTTAAGGTCACAGTGCACAATCCCTTCTTTTTTTAATAATAATAATAATAATAGTATTATGAAAATCGCTAATTATACAATATAACTGTAATTGTTTAAATATATTATAGGAGTATGTTTCAAAAATGAATGAATGATTTTAGTTGCAAACTTAAATAAATTCATAAAATCAAAAAAAAAAACTAAAAAGTGAAAACCCGAAAGTTTGTACCAAAAATGTACGGAAAGATAATAACAAAACTATATAATACGCTTGTTGATTATTTGTTTTCTTCTTTCATCGGTTTCAATTGTGATCCTTTCCACCTCCTTATCCATTTTGTGGCTTGTTTACTCGTTTCGAGTTTTGTTTATTTTGTGCTTTATTATTGTTAAGTTGCAGCTACTTTATCAATTTCATCAATAAAATTTAACTTTTTTCCAATTTAAACTCTCATGCCATCGCCGTGTTCCAAGCGCAACATCGTTCATCATTATCCGTGCTAAAGTGATTCAGGGAAAGTTTACTGCATTTATAGTAAAAGTTCTGGCATCGTATCTATGTACATTGTCGATTACTACACTTCCCTCATACAATCTCAGCTCCCTTACTCAGCTACTTACGACCTATCACAAACACCCAGAATGTGCCGTTTCTTTTCGAATGCTCATAATTCACTTGAGATATTTTCCGCTTGTTTACTATAATAAAAGGGGATAAATAATAAAAAATCTTAAGAGAAAGATAAAATAAAACAGCGAAAAAAAAAAGAATTACAAAATTATTGGAAAGCAGCGGAATTGTGATTTTTATTGACGAAATTGGCAGGAGAGTACAAAATCAAATGACTTATGACAGAAGGAAGGGTAATACGGTTTCTCGTATAACTGAAAATTGCAAATATTATGCATAAATTCTTATTATGGTTATTCTGAGTCCTCAACAAAATAATGCAGTTTCTTTTGCACTTTTCATGATCCACTAAAATCTGATTTATATTAAGCAATCCTTTTCAATGAAATTATTTAAATACATAGTTAATTCTATTGTGGTTAGAACATGTTTGTTTCCTTCTAAAATAAATTGGAATTTTTAAAAGTTAATATATGTTGTGAAGCTATCTATCAGCAGCCACGTAAGTAAAGAAGATAAATGCTGTACATAAACAATCTATGTATCTACCTGATTGGGGACGGTGCTAGTTAGCCTCGCAAAGACATTTGACATGGTCTCCCATAGCACCTTGTTAAATGACTTGGCCGAAACCCCTATACCTAACTCAACAAAAAGATGACTCTGTAACTATCTCGTAAGCAGATCAACTTTCATTGACTTTAGAAATAAAATATCAAACGCCATGAAATTGAAGCAAGATGTCCACCAGGGCAGCGTTCCCTCACCGATTTTCTTTAATTTATACATCTCTAAATTCTCAAACCCCCCTGAGGTAGTCAGAGTCATAACGTATGCAGATAACTTTACAATTCTAACTACAGGCCAAGACCTCTGTATATTGTACAAGAAGTTAAATACACTCCTTCCCTCTGTAACATCGTATTTGGATGATAGAAATCTTCACTTATCACAAAGTAAATCTTCAGCCAACCTTTCAACTTCCTGGAGTAAAGAGGTATCTTTGACTCTGCTCATAAAAATCGGTGAATTCTGGATATGTTCTTGTTATTTGCTAGTATATCTTATTATTGCTCAAAGCTTGATAGTTATGTTGGGAAATCCGTTCATTCGGGATAATGTCTTATTATTATATAAATTACTACAGTTGCAAGTATTATTGTACGTCATCCATTTAGACTTGAATTGCAAGATTAGTGAGCATCAGCAACCTGTTGACGCTCACAAACAGACAAAGTCTGATGTTTCTTTTTTACAAATATTATATCATAGCATAAAAACTGTTACCCCTCGAAATCTTGGTATTTTTATTATCTAGTGAAATCAAAAGTGATCAAATTCACTATTAATTTTGATAGCCCTAAACCTCAAAAAAAGCAGGCGCTTTTTGCGCCGACTTGCTGAAATGTGTACGCATATAATAATATATCAATCCCGCATATTTCTCAATATATTTCTATTTCTCTTTCCATTTCCTTGAGACGGATTTAAGCTAGACCTAAAAAACTGCATGCCATTCGATAGGAACTCTTTAAAACTTCAGTTCGCTAAAATTGTAGCGACCGTGAATATTAAGCAAAATATATTTATTTCAAAATTAAAACAAAAATTTGAATTCTACCATATCATCCAATAATACTTAATAGAAAGATTATTACTTTATTGTCACAAAATATATAAAACTTTTAATATTGCTATTAGTTAAATAATTAAAGAAATTTTTTTTAAATTGATTTTTAATTTGTTGTCTGTTTTTTCTTACTAAAGGCAATCAAGCTGTAGATAACACAGGAATGGATAAGTAACCATTTTAAAAATATTTTCTTAAATATAAATAAGTTATAAATTTATTAACAGGACACGAAAATCATTCACGGAAGCAAACTCAAAGCTGTCCAGGAGTATCAAAATTACTGATCTAATTGGTCGTGCAGAAAAGTTCACAGAAAATAAAGTAAAGCAAGGTATATATATATATATATTGCATGTTATATATTGTAAGTTTAAAACAATATATTTTAATAAAGACGCAAAAGTTTCTGATGAAAAAAAAACTCATGATGGGGTGCCTACTTCAGGATTGATCCGTGAAAGTAAAAATGTTCCAGGAATTCGTGATACTTCAGGTTTCCTTCTATTATGAATTTAAACATTATTTTGGTGTAAAAATCGTTTTATTTATAGATTTTATTAACTCGAAAATAATCGCACGTTATGATTCAAAGCTAGTCCGTACAAAACTCTTTTTAGATCACCGTGGCACAGAGAAGAATTTGGATTCTACAATTCAGAATTCAGGAAAGTGTTGTTTTTTAACTGCACAAAGATCAACAAGTCCACCAAATATATCTGCAGAGGTTAAAGAAAAGATATTTCATAAGTCATCTGGTCTAACATATACAACAAACGCAACCTTCAGTCCTCACGACCAACGTGCATATTTGCGAATAAAAAATGCACCACAAATTTCATCAGGTAAGTACGAAAGAGTACCCAAGAATCTAATTTATTCACTACTACAATTTGCAGAACAAACTTATCGTATCCCAAGTCGTAGCTTGGGACCCTCCGGTTCAACACCATCACCTCCCATTTCTCCACCACACGAAAAACAGCAAAGTCCCACCATTAATGTAAACGCAAAACCGCAACATCTTTCATCAGGTAATTATACAGAGCTTTACAATGGTTCTTATTAGTCAAAATCACATTTCGCAGAAAAAAATCCACATACCACATGTCGTTATTTGCGACCCTCCCGTTTGGCGGCAATACCTCCTCCATTAGTAGCATATAACATAGCAAGTCCAATTTCTCATAGTGCTGCCGAGGATGTACCACAAAATTTATCCTTGGGTAAGTGTACAGGGCTTCCGAGCGCTTCAATTCATTCTATATCACAATTTTCAGAGCAAAATCCGTTTACTATATACCGCAATAAACGACGCTCTCTTGGCGCCCGACCGCGTGCTTTATATGTACAATACGAAACATCAAACCAAGAAACTCATCAACCCTTTGAGGTCAAGTCTCAAGAACTTTCCTCAGGTAAGTATAAAAAACCCCAAAGATTCGCAGTCACTATTTATGCACAATTTACAAATCACCAGCACCACCATCTTCAACTATACCATCGCGTCGTACTGTAGAAGCTATACAACAACACCTTCCGTCAGGTAAGTGCATAGGGCCTACATTGGCCGAACTTACATACTACTAAATTTTGCAATACGAATATTACCTACATATCGTTTCGCAGAACGGCCCAGATCACAACCACAAACACCGCCACTATCGACAATACCACCACTATCAGTACTACCACCACTACCACCAGCACAGCCACCATCATCATTAGCACCACCACTACCGCCAAAACCACCACTACCATCTGTACCACACAAAAATGAAAAACCAACTTCGCATTGCAGTAAAGAGGACAAACCACAACATCTTTCATCAGGTAAATATACAGGGTTTCACACAGCTCATACTTATTCACAATCACAATTCAAAGAACCAACTTCGGTTAACGCATGCCGTTATATACATCTCAATCGTTTGCCCCCACCACTACCTCAATCTAAACCAGATGAACCATCAAAACCAATTTCTTACTCATCTAAAGAACATATATCTGAGAAACCTTCTTCAGGTTAGTATCGATAACTCCGTAGACAACCAACTGATTTATTATCAAAATTCGCAAAACTAATTTCACTCACTTCATATTCTTACGTAGCACACTCCCACTTATCGGTCCCATTACCACCAGCTCTGCCATACGAAACTGTGAAGTCAATTCCTGATTGTTCTGTAAAAGCTAAACCACAACAACTTCTCACAGATAAGCATACAGTGCGCACTAACGTTCAAACTAATTCGACATCAAAATACGCAGAAAAAATTCTAATGACTTCAAGTCGTGTCTTAGAAAGTTCTTCCTTAGCGCCGCCACTAACATCTGTACCATACAAAAGATGCAAATTAATTTCTCACACCAGTGAAGAGGATAAGCCACAACACCTTTCATCAGGTAAATATACAGGGTTTCAAACAGCTCATACTTATTTACAATCACAATTCAAAGAACCATCTTCGCTTAACGCATGCCGTTATATACATCTCTCTCGTTTGCCCCCACCACCACCTCAATCTGAATCAGGCGAAAAATCGAAGCCAATTTCTCATTCATCTGAAGAACATAAATCTGAGGAACCTTCTTTAGGTAAGTATCGATAACTCCATAAAGATCCAAATGATTTACTATCAAAATTCGCAAAACTAATTCCACTCACTTCATGTTCTTATTTAGTACACTCCCACTCATCGGTACCATTACCACCAGCTATAGCTCAGGAAACAATAAAGATAATTCCTAATCGTTCTGTGGAAGCTAAACCACAACAACTTATTCCAGACAAGCATACAACGATCCATAAAGTTCCAACTAATTCGAAATCACAATACGCAGAAAAAATTCCAATGACTGCAAGTCGTGTATTAGAAAGTTTTTCCTTAGCGCCACCACCATCACTACCATGTGTACCACACAAAAGAAGAAAACTAATTGCTCGTAGCAGTGAAGAGGATACACCACAACATCTTTCATCAGGTAAATACACAAAATCACACACAGCACCTACTAATTTACTATCACAATTCACAGAACCAACTTTGGTTAATGCACGCCGTTATACACATATCTCTCGTTTGCCCCCACCACCACCTCAATCTGAACCAGACGAAAAATCGAAGCCCGTTTCTCATTCATCTGAAGAACATATACCTGAGGAACCTCCTTTAGGTAAGTATCGATAACTCCATAAAGATCCAAATGATTTAATATCACAATACGCAAAACTAATTCCCCTCACTTCATGTTCTTATTTAGGACACTCCCATACATCGGCACCATTACCACCAGCTATACCATACGAAACTGTGAAGTCAATTCCTGATTGTTCTGTAAAAGCTAAACCACAACAACTTCTCACAGATAAGCATACAGTGCGCAATAAAGTTCCAACTAATCCGACATCAACATACTCAGAAAAAATTCCAATGACTTCATGTCGTGTCTTAAAAAATTCTTCCTTAGCACCGCCACCACCACCACTACCATCTGTACCACACAAAAGAAGCAAATTAATTTCTCACACCAGTGAAGAGGATACACCACAACATCTTTCATCAGGTAAATATACAAGATCATACACAGCACCTACTAATTTACTATCACAATTCAAAAAACCAACTTCGCTTACCGCATGCCGTTATATATATTTCTCCTATTGGCCCCAACCACCATTTCAATCTGAACCAGATGAAAAATCAAAGCCAATTTCTCATTCATCTAAAGAACATATATCTGAGAAATCTTCTCTAGGTAAGTATCGATAACTCCGTAGACAACCAACTGATTTACTATCACAATACGCAAAACTATTTCCACTCACTTTATGTACTTATTTAGTACACTCTCACTCATTGGTACTATTACCACCAGCTATACCTCACAAAGCAATAAAGTTAATTCCCGATCGTTCTGTGGAAGCTAAACCACAACAATTTGTCACAGATAAGCATACAGTGCTCAATAAAGTTCCAACTAATTCGACATCAAAATACGCAGAAAAAATTTTAATGACTTCAAGTCGTGTCTTAGAAAGTTCTTCCTTAGCGCCGCCACTAACATCTGTACCATACAAAAGATGCAAATTAATTTCTCACACCAGTGAAGAGGATAAGCCACAACACCTTTCATCAGGTAAATATACAGGGTTTCAAACAGCTCATACTTATTTACAATCACTATTCAAAGAACCATCTTCGCTTAACGCATGCCGTTATATATATCTCTCTCGTTTGCCCCCACCACCACCTCAATCTGAATCAGGGGAAAAATCGAAGCCAATTTCTCATTCATCTGAAGAACATAAATCTGAGGAACCTTCTTTAGGTAAGTATTGACGACTCCGTAGACAACCAACTGATTTACTATCAAAATTCGCAAAACTAATTCCACTCACTTCATGTTCTTATTTAGTACACTCCCACTCATCGGTACCATTACCACCAGCTATAGCTCAGAAAACAATAAAGATAATTCCTAATCGTTCTGTGGAAGCTAAACCACAACAACTTATTCCAGACAAGCATGCAGTGCTCAATAAAGTTCCAACTAATTCGAAATCGCAATACGCAGAAAAAATTCCAATGACTGCAAGTCGTGTATTAGAAAGTTTTTCCTTAGCGCCACCACCATCACTACCATGTGTACCACACAAAAGAAGAAAACTAATTGCTCGTAGCAGTGAAGAGGATACACCACAACATCGTTTGCCCCCACCACCACTTCAATCTGAACCAGACGAAAAATCGAAGCCCCTTTCTCATTCATCTGAAGAACATATACCTGAGGAACCTCCTTTAGGTAAGTATCGATAACTCCATAAAGATCCAAATGATTTAATATCACAATACGCAAAACTAATTCCCCTCACTTCATGTTCTTATTTAGGACACTCCCATACATCGGCACCATTACCACCAGCTATACCATACGAAACTGTAAAGTCAATTTCTGATCCTACTGCAAAAGCTAAACCACAACAATTTGTCACAGATAAGCATACAGTGCGCAATAACGTTCCAACTAATCCGACATCAAAATACTCAGAAAAAATTCCAATGACTTCATGTCGTGTCTTAAAAAATTCTTCCTTAGCACCGCCACCACCACCACTACCATCTGTACCACACAAAAGAAGCAAATTAGTTTCTCACACTAGTGAAGAGGATACACCACAACATCTTTCATCAGGTAAATATACAAGATCATACACAGCACCTACTAATTTACTATCACAATTCAAAAAACCAACTTCGCTTACCGCATGCCGTTATATATATTTCTCCTATTGGCCCCAACCACCATTTCAATCTGAACCAGATGAAAAATCAAAGCCAATTTCTCATTCATCTAAAGAACATATATCTGAGAAACCTTCTCTAGGTAAGTATCGATAACTCCATAAAGATTCAAATGATTTACTATCACAATACGCAAAACTATTTCCACTCACTTTATGTTCTCTCACTCATTGGTACCATTACCACCAGCTATACCTCACAAAGCAATAAAGTTAATTCCCGATCGTTCTGTGGAAGCTAAACCACAACAATTTGTCACAGATAAGCATACAGTGCTCAATAAAGTTCCAACTAATTCGACATCAAAATACGCAGAAAAAATTCCAACGACTTCAGGTCGTGTCTTAGAAAGTTCTTCCTTAGCGCCGCCACCACCATCACTACCATCTGTACCATCCAAAATAGGAAAATTAATTTCTCATATTAGTGAAGAGGATAAACCACAACAACTTTCATCAGGTAAATATACAGGGTTTCAAACAGCTCATACTTATTTACAATCACAATTCAAAGAACCATCTTCGCTTAACGCATGCCGTTATATACATCTCTCTTGTTTGCCCCCACCACCACCTCAATCTAAACCAAACGAAAAATCGAAGCCCGTTTCTCATTCATCTAAAGAACATATATCTGACAAACCTTCTCTAGGTAAGTATCGATAACTCCGTAGACAACCAACTGATTTACTATCACAATACGCAAAACTATTTCCACTCACTTCATGTTCTTATTTAGGACGCTCCCATACATCGGCACCATTACCACCAGCTATACCATACGAAGCCGTAAGGTTAATTTCTGGTCGTTCTGTGCAAGTTAAACCACAACAACGTATCACAGATAAGCATGCAGTGCTCAATAAAATTCCAACTAATTCGAAATCACAATACGCAGCAAAAATTCCAATGACATCAGGTCGTGTCTTAGAATGTTCATCCTTGGCGCCGCCACTACCATCACTACCATCTGTACCATACGAAATAGGAAAACTAATTTCTCATAACAGTGAAGAGGATAAACCACAACATATTTCGACAGGTAAATATACAGGGCTTGACACAGCTCATTCTAATGTACTTTCACATTTCAAAGAACTGACTTCGCTTATCGCATGCCGTTATATACATCTCTCTCGTTTGCCCGTACCACCTCCTCCATCTGCACCATGCGCAACATCTGAACCAATTTCTCATCGTACTGCAAAGGCTAGGCCACAACTTTGTCCTGGTAAGTTTACTGGACTGCACAAAATTCTAACTAACTCAATACCACAAATCATACTGTTTACATGTAATTGTTCAGGACCCGCTCGCTCAATACCGCCACTTTCTTCATCATTATCAGACGAAAAAGCACAGTTAACTTCTCATCGTACTATGGAAGCTAAATCAAAACCTCTTCGCTCAGGTAAGTTATTCGAGATTCCACAGAATTCTAAGTAGTTATTTGCGTAACAAATTTTACTTACTACATGTTTTAATTCAGGACTTTCCAGCTCATTACCAGTACCTCCAATATCTGCATCAAATGCATTAGCAATGCAAACTTCTCATCGTTCCGAAGAAGTTAGATCAAAACATCTTTCCTCAGGTAAGTTACATACGGTTCCACAGAACTCTAACTCATTCACTACCACAATTTACAGAAAAAATATCACTTACTACATGTTGCAATTCAGAACCATGCCAATCACCTTGTTTACCTGTATTACACCAAACATCAAAGCGTGTTTTTCAACGTACTGCAAAAGCTAAACCGAAAAAACTTTCTGTAGGTAAGTATATAGGGCTCATCCGAGTCCAATTGATGCTCCATCACTATTCACAAAATTAATTTTGCTTACTACGTGTCATTATTTATAATCCTCTTGCTTATCAGCACCACCGCCTCCATCCGTAACATGTGCCACATCCAACCCAGGCTCTAATCGTGCTGTACATATTTTTTCTTCAGGTAAGTATACAGGAGTCCACAGATCTACAACTTAGTCATTATCACAATTCACAGAACATATTTCACTTACTACATGCTGTAATTCCGAAGCCTCCTGCACATCACAAGCAATTCTCCCATCCGCACAATACAAAACATTACAGTCACGTTCTCATCAAACTGCAAAGTCTAGAACACAACAACTCTCCTCTGGTAAGTATAATGGACTCCACAGAGCCTCAACTCATCTACCATCACAATTCACAGTACAAATCCCATTTAATGCATGTCGTGATATAGGATCCTCCTGTTCATCATCAATACCTCCTTCATCAGTAGCATACAGTTCATCAAAGCCAAAGTCTCAATTAGCATCGCAACTTTCACCTATTCATTGTGCAGAATCATGTAATTATCTGTCGCCACAGATTGGCACACATTCCAGTATGGTACTGCCGCTGAAAAATCAAGATAATCCAGTGTGCGGACAAGTACCCATTAATCGAGACCCTAAATTTTGTGGACAATTAATTAATTTGAAGAAGGTACCAGATGCTACAGCTATAAAAACCATTTTGGAGCGCACGAAGATGAAGTTGCAAATAAATGAAAAAAAACCACGTCCATGCAGTAGGAAAGCTAATATCAAAAAATTGCAACGAATGCAGTTGATACCAAAGAAACCCATTCGCAACTGGAATCCTATAAAATTAAGGTTGTTTTATTCTGATTATTGGATTAACATACAAAAAAAATTATTTAATTTTTATTTGTTTAGTCGCAGCATTGGTGATTTTAAAATTCCAAAAATAAAAAGACCTGACTGTCCAACAGATGAACCATCAACATCAAATTGCAAAAACAGTAAAATAATTACCGACAATGTTTCTCTTATCCTAAATCTTCGGTAAATCATTTTACTTTTAAAATTTAATTATATAGCATGATAATAGCTATAATATTTTTACAGAGATATGTCACATTTATTTTCATCGCCTATACGCACAAAACATTCAAATGAAAGTCACCATATTACTAAAGTACTCGGAGATCCAGAAATAGCCGTAAAAAAAATGCGTTCCATGTACCTAAGAAAGAAATAATAATGCATGCAGGCAACTAAATATACTATATTTTAAGCTGATTCGAATGTAATTGAGCTCTATATGACAATCTAATAACACAAAGAAACCCATTTTGGTTAATTTTGAAGTAGGGCTGTTCTATTGTTTCCATATATTTTAAACTAAATTGTGAAAAAACCCGTGCTATTATAATGATCGGGTAAAACTATGTTTATAAAAACGTTGTCATTATAACAGACAATACTTTATGAAAATTACAAAATTCTTAATAATAACAGGAAATATTAAAATAAATTCACTTATGTGTTATAAATTGTAAAAATTTTCAGTTTAGCATATATATATATGTAGGGACGGTGGGACAGATCATGGTCCAACAAATGACCCCACTGAAATGAAGAATGAGCAGAAATAGACCACAAAATGACTTAGATAAAGCTAAAGTGGCTCCCGTTCGCATAATTACATCTCTTGTTATTCCAACCAGCTCATTTAGCTTGAAGTTGGCTGTCAAGTCATCATCAACCCAATGGTGTTCCAAGATACCATGTCTTCCTCAACAAGAGTTGTCTTTTTGAGGTGATACTTGAAGTTTCCATGTACACACACTAATCAATGAGATCAGCCAGCTTAGGGTACTCCGCAGATAGCTAAACACTTTAATCGATCCCCTGGCCAACGGTTTCAGCATCATGAGTTTAGTCTGTCTACAAGTGCTCATCTTTCTCCATCTGTTAAAATGAAGTGAAGTTATTCACTTAGCGACATAGGCTGCAGTCATGTTGTAGACTAATTGTATTCTTGTCTCTAGACCACAGAAGTTATGGATTGATCCTTGCTTTGCAAGTTTATCTGCCTTTTCGTTTTGCTCAATATTTCCTCTAACCCACATGACTGTTACCTTATTGCCATGAACACATTCCATGAGCTTCGTGACACATTTTTGTTCTAAGCTGTTGACTATGTACGTCTTTTGCATGCACCTAACAATCCAACAGTTGATCTAGAACATGTGAAACCGTCATAGGTTCCGCCTAATAAGCGGAAACATTTTTTCCTAGATGTAGAATGCACGTTAGCTTTAGCTCTTTCAAATTAACTCCAGCACTAGCTCTGTCATCCATGAAAGAGCCATCAATAAAGACGCAGATGTCATTCCTTTCAAATTGGACATGTAGAAGGCCATCTATTATCAGTGTTCTATAGGACACTTCTGTGCCATAAACCCTCCTCATAGTTTTCAATAGCATTTGCGTTTCCTTGACCGCGCTCTGGACATCACCTGTAATGTCGGTGTCGGTGTAGTGAGCATAGCACCCACTATTCCAACACGGGTTAGTCGCTGGACCAGACAACGGACGCATATGTTATAAAAGGTCTGACCATCACCGCACAGATGCAGTGCGTTGATTTGGCGGATAACTTATAGTATATAGAGCTGTCTACGCTTTTCCTATCTTTTCATCCACATGTTCATTCATTACCGACTTTGATATGTGGATGTTATTATCACAAAGTTGACAAACTTCTTTTCCTCGTGAAGAGGATAGTGTCTAATTTCTGCCCATTTATAGTCGAGCCTTGTTTCCTATATTATTGTTCGATGCAATTGAGCGCACTTCACATTACGTTCCTAATGATATTTGAGAACTTCACGTTCACCATCAGTGTTACATTGTCCGCCAACCCTAGTGTGCATATGGCTTTGAAGTGAAGGTATTGGAGTAGAGTCTATGGTTACGTTCCACAGGAATGGTGAGAGCACCACTCCCTGTGGCCAACCTCTGAGTACTCTGCCTTTCAGCCTATGTCCTCCATTTTGTAGGTTTATAACTCTTTCCCTCAGCATGAAATCAATTCATCCAATTATGAGTAAACAGACTTATTGGTCAGCTAGAGCTGATTTTAACTTATCAAAGCTGACTCTATTAAAAGCTCCTTCGATGTCCATCATGATAACCATCGATATGCCTCCTGAAGTTAGCTCTCTCTCAGCTGCCGTCACGACCTCCGGACCTCTCCACCTTATAGGCATGTTGCAATCTGCTTAAAGAGGACTTCAGTAGTGCCGTTCAACTTTACTTTACTAGTACTTAATGACTCCCCTTCATGCTCAAATAGAAATCCCGCCCCAACTACCGTTTTCGGTTGCGTAGTGCCTTCTTTAATTTGCGCTTTTTAGCATTGTACAAGTCCGAAGATTCGGAGTCCTTTCTAATGTATTTTTTAAAAACTTTCCTTGCCATCATGGTTCTGACTCCACTAGGGTGTCGAAGACTTTTTAGCAATACTGGTTTGGGCGCAAGCGTTTTCAATCACATTATTAATAGTAACAGTACTTGCCTTAACTTCTGACCCAACATTCTATGTAGTTTTGAGTTTACTCAGCGACTTGTTTTGTAATAATTCCTTCAACGATGTCATGTATGTTACCTGATCTGAGTTCTCAGGAAGTCTTTCTATCCTATGACAATAATGCGTTTCGAAGGACAGAGTATTTCAAAGTGTATGGCCCGATGATCCGACATTGTTAGTCAGCGACCCTCTATTTCACCATATTCTGTGTCATTGCGCCTAAGCACAGGGTTATGCTAATAACTTCTGATAACTTCTGCGTCAACGAAGTTAGGTTCAGGGGGTAACTGTTTACAACCATCAGATTGTATTTTTTAACAAACTCGAGTAGTGACTCCTTTCTGTTGTTACTATCGCTGCTACCCCACACATTGTTGTGTGCGTTCGCATCGCATCCCATGACGATTTCTAAGCCTTTTCGTCCTACAATACTCCATCAGTCTGATTACCTTCTGACTGGCAGGTAGTTCAGTAGAGTCGTATGGCAGATAGGCCGACACCACGATTAAGGTGTCTACATCGCTCTCTACTATCAAAGTAGTAAAATCTGGTGAGCATAGGTGTGGCAATTGAATTTAGTATATCCCCTTCATATTACCTATGATACGACGCTTGTGCCATTTATATCATATGTCCAAAATATATCAAAAGGATTCATTTGATGTAGTAATTCGTTTTACAAACTAACAAGTTCATTTATGATTTTATACTGAATTGCTGCGGTGGTTTTGTATTATTATATTCGAAGGATACTTTCTGAATATAATAGCCGTTATTTTCTCTTTCAGAGTAGTAAAAAAATACTCGCAACTTACGAAAAAAAATATGAAGCAACAACAATGCTCTTTAAATCTTCAGAATTACGGTTTACTCGTAATTTTACGACTTAAGTTTCAGTGCAGCCAAATTCAAAAATCAGTCTATTGTAAATGTTCACTGGAAATATGTTTCAAAATTTTAGTCATTCGTTAAAATCATATGAGCATTTCATTTACTAATAAATTCAAATTCATAAATAAATTAATAAATTTGAATATTGCAGACAGAAATGCTTACCATCACCCTTCAAATACTTATTTTGTTTTCTTTTATTTAAATTAATTAATGTTTAGTGTTTACAATTTTTATAATTCATATGTTATTATACACAACACAACAAGAAACATATGTTTTTAAAAAAAAGCATTTAACATATTTTAAAAGTGATGCCAATTTGTTTTAACCAGACTTAATGTTATTTTTTTTACAAGTTTGAAAGAAAAAATTACGGCTATTTTCGTTTACATATGATTTTTGACATATGATTGCAATATTCGTTGGAATTTCCAATAAAGGTTCACAATAGTTGGCTTTTTGCGTTGGTAGCACTTTTTTTTACTGGACAAAGTATTTGGCTACATCACAACTACTTGCCTAAATAGAGCAAGTAGTGTTGTTGCTTTGCGTGCATATAAGCGAGTATAGGCAAGCAACTGACTGTTTTTTGCTACACTCGCTAGCTGCTGAAAGCAACTATTGTTGCATAAATAATTGCACTGAAATTGCTAATAATTATGCAAGAGGTTGAAAACCCGAACTGTTAACTAAAACATAGTAGAAGCTAATTGAGGTTCCAAAAACGGCAGGGTCTACGTCCCAGATCAAGTTCGACATCTCTCAAAAGGACTTCACAAGCTGGTCCTAGCGGGTTACAACAATAACAAGAAAAACTCATTGAATTTCATCGATTAAGTTAAGATTGAGTTAAGAGAAAGTAAAAAAAAAACATTATTATATTATAGTTCAGAATAAATCAAATTCATTTCAACGTTTGCCACAAATTGATAAGATTTATTCTGAAATCCTGACATACATCTGTTTTTTATTAAGACAAGAAAGGAGTTTGCACGAACATTAATTTTAATATATAATATACCAAAAAACAGTAGTAGTAAAATTTATTATAAAAATGAAGTTTGTATAGAAAACTTAACATCAAGCACATAAAGCACATATGCCCTCACATGCGGGTATGAGAGTATTTATGGTACAAGAAAGGTGCAAAAACATTAGCAACATTAGCAACATCAACATAAATAGTTGAAGCTTCCATGTATGTTGCTATTACTGGCGGAAGCATTTAACTATTTTCAATGGTAAAAAATTTTAAATAGAAAAAGAAAAGAAAACGTTACTATAATACTTAGCATATAGCAGGGAAACCATACATAAGGTATGAACTATCTCTCACTAACATATTTAACTTTAAGTATATATTATTAAGTAAGGCTGTTGGTGATGTCGTTGATGTTGTGGCTCCATAAGTGACAACATAAAAATAATTTACTGGAATAGCTCAACTCAACTCAACTCATCAGTGTGGCATATGAAAAACAACGGCATTAAAAACAGATTTCTGACAAAACAGACTGCGAGTGCAGCATCAGCATCAGCAGCAGCCAACAGTGGAGACCATTTTGTTTAAGGAAAGAAAGGATGGCGGCAATTCTACAGATTATTACTTTATATATATTTATATCCTTTTTACTTCGCTTGCAGTTTTTGCATAAATTTCTTTGAGCATCAGTCTGCTTTTTCCATTCGCTTCCCTTTTTTTATTTATACTTTGTTTTTCATGATAAATAATTTTTTAGGATTTCACATTGTGTTGCGAAAATATGTGCAGAAATATGAGAAAAAAATGCGACAGAATCCTTAAAAAATGCATTCATAATTACGCGTGTGCATTTTTAATTAAGTTTACTGGGACAACTGCAACATACGCTGTCAGGAATCACGAAATACTCGTACATTTCAGTAAGTCATGCCAAACATAAATTACAAAAACAAAACAACAACATACACTCCAATAAAAATATTAAGCATATACCATATATAAAAAGATATTACACTACAACAATTGATTACCAATAAGATTC